GGGCCGACGCGCGTCCTAACTCATGTTAGATTTCTCAGGTTTATTTAATTTTTTTAATGAAAAAGTGGTGCTACTATTAAACCGCACAGTTAAACCACGCAGGCGCCTGGTGCTTTTCCGCGGGCGGCCTAGCGCTCTGGGGCGCTTGCCCAGGGGGCGGGGCTTCGTGGAGGGGCGGGGCCCGGGCTGCGTTCTCGGGGCGCTTGTAGAGGAGGCGGGGCCGGGGTCGGCGCTCGTGGGGCCCTTGTAGAGGGGGCGGCGCTTGTGGGGGTCGTGCAAGGGGGGCAGAGCAGAGCCTGGCGAAGTGCAGGTGTCTGCTGCGCCCGGCTCCCCCTGCAGCCTGGCCAGGGCCCCTGCCTCTGGGCAGCGCCCGCCGCAGCCCCGCACTGCCCCCACTGCCTGTCTCGGGCGCCACGGACCGTCCACCGCGGCCCAGCAGATCGGGTCCTCTCTCCCCCTGCCGGGCTGCACGGACTCCGCGCTCTCAGGGCTGTGCGTGCTCAGGCCACACGAGGTCCTGATCTCCCTCCATGACCTGGGGTGGCCGAGAGCCATCCACACAAGGCCTACAGGTGGGCCTGGGCACACGGCCGTCCTGCCCCCCGAGCCCGGCCTGGGGACTGGCCTGCGACCCGTGGCCATGCTGGTGCGGGGTGTCTGTCTCTGGCAGCGCTGCAGGGGGTGTGGCCGCGACCCGGGGGAAGCCAGCCACTCCCTCGCTGAGGGAGTCAGGCAGCTGGCCGGCCTTCCTGGTCTCGAGAGTGGGCTGGCCTCTGCGAGCTGGGCAGCGGCCCCTTGCTGGCTGGGACAGCAGCTGAGGGCCGAGACCACGTGCCTGCGGCCCCACATGACTCTGCCTCTCCTGGCTGCACCCCAGCTCTTGGCCGAGCGGGATGGGGCGCTGCGCCCACCCACACCCCAGCTGCTGCTTTGGGCGGGGCCCACACTCGGGCAGCCGGGCTCTGCGGCCATACACGCTGCGCTGGGCGGTCCTTGGCCCCGCGGCTATGCCCACTCGCACCATGCTGGGCAGCCCAGCTGCCTTCGTGGCCGGGCAGGGAACAGGCCTGGCAGGCAGACCCCTGGCTTGGTGCCCTGCGTGGTCACTGCACACAGCTGACCCCCCCTTAATCATCCCGGACAAACAACAATGCACGGACGGACACGTAGCAAACAGGAAGGGAGGGGCGCAGAGGGCAGGCTCGGCCCGTGCGCCCCGGGGTAAAGGCCAGCGGGAGATGACAAGGACATCCTGGGTGGGGCTCCAGTGTTTACAGGACACGGAGCACCTGCCGGAAGGAACTTTCCAGGGCCCGAGGCTCACCCTGGCCACCTTCCTGTGCTGCGCGTCCTGGACGCCCCCACAGTTTCCTGCACTGCCCACCCTTCTGGGTGCCCGCGGCTGCCAGCCCTCCCCGACGGGGGGGGAGGGGGGGGCCTGTGTCCTGCGGCAGCGCGGGTCCTCGGCCCTCTGCGCCCCGCGTGTGCAGGGCGCAACTCGTTCTCTGATGGCGCGTGCGCCCCCTTCACCGTGTGACGTCACCTCCCTGGGGGTCTCCGGGCAGCTAGGCGACCGCAGCGGGGAAGAGGTCAGCTAGGCTAAGTAGCCCAGGGCGCCAGGTCG